GTGTTCATCCAGCTCTGCACCTTGTTATCTCCCTCCTGAGTTTATGTGGATTCCCCTTAGAAGCAGATCAACTCAGACTTCACTCAAACGCACCCTGTGGGAGCTAGTTCCAACAGTTTTTTTTATCAGTTTTCGAGTGCAGACATGGAATTTATTACTGTCCATTGTTACAAACAGATTGTAGGTTTTAAAATAAATCTGTCTTCCCATTCTTACTACCTGTCTATAAGCAGACTATAGGCTTTATTTCTCCATTTTTTTTGAAAACAGTGGGAGTGTATTACCCCCACTCCATCTGTCTGCAGACTCTAACTTCGTAAGGACCTTCACAACACCTGTTGTAACAGTAAACCACAAATGGGAGTAATCTCAAATGCACTTAGATATGGGGGAGTACTTTGCCACACGCATACTCGCAAACATTCAAGAGAGAAGGACAGGCAATTAGTGACAATTTACGTCCAACGTGACTGGCGGAAATACCACTTTATCAATGCTGTTGCTTTTAGAGTCCAGAAATTGGAGTTTAGTAGAACCAGTTCAGCCATATTCTCATTGAGTAGTGGGCTGAATGGCCTATTTCTGTTCCTAGCCTTATGGTTTTATATGTATTAAAATTGTATTTTCTGTCCATTTGTGGCACTATTGTGAAGGGATTTGTTTGCTGTTAGTAATATTACTATAGCAATCCTAATCTACAGAGCAGGGTGGAGTTAAGGAAAGTTTACAACGTAATAATTGTGTTGAAATTGACTTTGCAGCAATTTGTTTTCAGCCTAACTCTGTATCTAACCCCATGCAGTCCCTACCTAGGCTCAGTTTGATGGGGACAATGTAGAAGAAGTTTTCCTCTGTATCTAACCATGTGCTGTCCCTGCCCTGGGAGTGTTTGATGGGGGACAGTGTAGAGGAAGCTTTACTCTGTATCTAACCATGTGCTGTCCCTGTCCTGGGAGTGTTTGATGGGGGACAGTGTAGAGGAAGCTTTACTCTGTATCTAACCATGTGCTGTCCCTGCCCTGGGAGTGTTTGATGGGGGACAGTGTAGAGGAAGAGGAAGCTTTACTCTGTATCTAACCCGGTGCTGTCCCTGCCCTGGGAGTGTTTGATGAGGACCGTGTAGAGAGAGCTTTACTCTGTATCTAACCCCGTGCTGTCCCTGTTCTGGAGTGCTTGTTGGGGATAGTGTTACTCTGTATTACTCTTCAAATCAATTTTCTTGAATACTTTAAATCAGTGCCCTCTTGTTCTCAATTCTTTCATGAAAGGGTGCAGTTTCTCCCCATCTGCCCGGCCCAAATACCTCATGATTTTGATAACCTACTCGAATTCTTCGATGATGTAACTGAGAGAGTTGATCGGGGAGGCAGTGGATGTGCTTTATTTGGACTTTCAGAAGGCTTGTGACAAAATCCCACATAACAGATTAATGTGTAAAATTAATGTGCATGGGATTGGAGGTAGTGTATTGAGAAGGATAGAAAGCTAGTTGGCAGTAGGGAAACAAAGAGTAGGAATAAAAGAGATAACACAGTATGGAGCTGGAGGAACACAGCAGGCCAGGCAGCATCAGAGGAGCAGGAAAACTGACGATTCGGTTCGGGTCCCTTCTTCAGAAAATGCAGAATACGCATTGTGTTATCTCTGACTCCAGCATCAGCAGTTCTTATCATCTCTGTAGGAATAAAAGAATCTTTTTCTGAATGGCAGGCAGTGACTAATGGGGTACCACAATGATTGATACTAGGACCCCAGCTATTCACAATATGTATTCATGATTTGGACGAGGGAACTGAACGTTAACTCTCCAAATTTGCAGATGACACAAAGCTGAGTGGGGAGAATGCAGCAATGTTGCAGTGTGATTTGGGCAGCCTGAGTGAGTACACAAATGCATGGCAGATACTGTGTAATGTGGATAAATGTGAGGTTAACCACTGTGGTCACAAAAACAGGAAGGCAAATAATTGTTTGAACAGCTGTAAATTGAGAGAGGAGAATGTTCAATGAGACCTGGGTGTCCTTATCATAGAACCCCTACAGTGTGGAAACAGGCCCTTCGGCCAACAAGTGCATACCGACACTCGGAGCATCACACCCAGACCCATCCCCCTATAACCCAGCTAATTTACGCATCCCTAAATACTATGGGCAATTTAGCACGGCCAATCCAACTAGCCTGCACATCTTTGGACAGTGGGAGCAAACTGGAGGAAACCCACGCAGACGCGGGGAGAATGTACAAACTCCACACAGACAATCGCCCGTGGATGGAATCAAGCGCAGGTTCCTGGTGCTATGAGGCAGCAGTGTTAACCACTGAGCCACCGTGCCACCTGTTGCTGAAAGTAAGCAATGCAGGCAGTGAAGAAGGCAAATGGTATGTTGGCCTTTATAGCATGAAGGTTCAAGTGCAGGAGCAGGGTTGTCTTGCTGCAATTGTACAGGGCAGTGATGAGGCCACACCTGGAATACTGTGTGCTGTTTTGATCTCCTTGTCTGAGGAAGGATGTTCTTGCTATGGAGGGAGTGCAGCAAAAGTTTACCAAGTGCGTGGTTGTTAACCTGAATCTGATATCTGCAAACTTTTCCAGTGTAATTATAATGAATGATCCTCTTTGTGAAGGCAAGTGTACCCAGATCCTGATTTCTTTTTTGTTTAGCCTTTCATGGGGATGTGAGCATTGTTGGCTAGGGCAGCATTTATTACCCATCCATAACTGCCCCTTGAACTGAATGGTTTACTGGGTCATTTCAGAGGGCAGTTAAGAGTCAACCACATTGCTGTGGTTCTGGAGTCACATGTAGGCTAGACCAGATAAGGATGGCAGATTTTCTACCCTGAAGGGGCATTAGTGACATTTTTTATGGTAATCGATGACAGGTGTTATGGGTCACCATGACTGAGATGAGCTTTCAATTCCACATTTAAGGATTTCTGGTGTAGAGCAACTACTTCCCCTGGTGGAGCACATTACCTGAGAATGAGAGCCAGGCAGTTCAGTGCATTTTATCAGAAACATATCTGCACACAAAGTGGGATTTGGAAATCTGGACAATTCCATTTACCCCTCATCAGAGAGTTCCAGACTGAATGGGATAGAGTGAGCAGACTCAATTGAAAATTGCAAAAACTGAGATTGATGAATTTGTGTTAAATAAGGCTACTTAGGGATATGGAAACAAATACATGGGTTTGAAATATCCATTAGCCACAATCCTATTGATTTTGTTTTGATTTATTATTGTCACATGTACCCAGGTACAGTGAATAGTTTTGTTTTGCGCGCAGTACAGGCAGATCATACCATATAGATTGCATAGTGGTAATAGAACAGAGCAAAGAATACAATGTGATGGCTGCAGAGAAGGTGCACAAAGACTGAGATCAACATTAAATTTAAAATTTTGAGAGGTCTATTCAGAAGTCTGATAACTGTAGGGAAGAAGGTGCTCTTGAATCTGTTGGTATGTGCATTCAAGATTTCGTATCTTCTGGCTGACCGAAGACATTGGAAGAGATTATAACTGGGGTGGGAGGGGTCTTCGATCATGTTTGCTGCTTTCTAAGACAGCGAGAAGTGTAGATGAAGTCAATGGATGGAAGGTCAGCTTGCATGATGGACTGGTCTATGTTCACAACTCTCTGTAGTTTCTTACGGTCCTGGGTAGAGCAGTTGCCATACCAAGTCGTGATACATCCAGATAGAATGCTTCCTATGGGGCATTTATAAAAATTGGTAAGAATCTTTGCGGACATGCTGAATTTCCTTAGCCTCTTGAGGAAGTAGAGGCGTTGTTGTGCTTTCTTGACCGTAGCATAACCAGGACAGATTGAATAGTGAAAAAAGTTCAAAAGTCTCAATGGTCTCCCTCTGCTCTGATTCCTTTTCCTCAACTGTTAGACAAATGGAAATATGTGTTGAACATCATGGATCTAATTCTAAAGCCATTGAAATAACTTCTGCTTATAATCCATCTTGTAACATGGATGAAACTGGCTGATGATTGTAAGCAAGTGAAAGGAGCTCGATCACACTAACCAATAATTGTATGGCTTTCTCTTGGAACAGAGATACACAATCTTGAAGATGGGGATTACCGGGCCTCCGACAACTGCGTCAAAGCCTAACCGCACTGAGAAACAGCCCAGAAGATGTGCCATCAACCCATTTCACAGTATAAAGGTGGGTGTGGGAATCATAGAATCTTACAGCATGGAAACAGACCCTTCGGTTCAACCTGTCCATAACGACCATAATTCCAAACTAAACCAGTCCCACCTACCTGCACTTGGCCCATATCCCTCCAAACACTTCTTATTCATGCACTTATCCAAATGTCTTTTAAATGTTGTAACTGTACCCACATCCATCACTTCTTCTGGAAGTTCATTCCACATACGAACCACTTTCTGTGTCAAAAAAGTTGCCCTCATTTCTTTTTTAAATCTTCCTCCACACACCTTAAAAATATACCCCCTAATCTTGAAATCCCCCACCCTAAGGAAAATAAACAAGCCATTCACCTTATCAATACCCCTCAAGATTTTATAAACTTCCATAAGGTTACTTCTTGATTTACTATGTCACAGTGAAAAATAGTCCCAGCTTACCTAGCCTCTCAGTATAACTCAAACCCTTCATGCCCGGTGACATCCTGGTAAATGTCATAAGTAACATCTTGAGGAGGGGAATGGAGCCAATTGAGACCTGGGGGATTCAGGGAGAGAGAGCTACATTCAGTAATGGTTTCAATTGACACTGAACCTTCTGTGTTCCCTTCTTCCACAGTTTTTTGTGCTATGTCACGGACTGTTACAGCTCTCCCAACTCTTGGTATCAGGTTATCTGAAAAGTATTGTCTCAACCATTGAGAAACGATTTGGACTTTCCAGCCAGACCTCGGGAATGCTGTCCTCTCTGAATGAGGTAAGTGTGCAAAGTCCGAAGAATATTGGAGTGTGAGAGCTGGAGTTGGCCATTCTGCCCCTCGGGGCTGCTACATTGTTCGATTGGATCATGAGTCCAGCTCCATACCACCTCTCATCTAATCCTCATATTTTTAATTCCCAAAAAAAGTCCAACAAACGTTGAATAAATTCCGTAACTAACCATCCATAACCTTCTGACTGAAGTAATTTCACTTCATCTCCTCTGAGACTATATTTCCTGAGTCTAGGCAATTAGGGATGGACAACATCACATAAAGAAACTCCCCTCCCCCCAAACCATACCTTGAAAGTTGCCATTGAATCAGGTGGGAGCTTTCTCATTCGTTCTTGGCATACCAGTGCCACTAGCTAAGATACCTCTTATTACCGATCCCTAATTAGCCCTGCACAGATCGCAGAAAACTCCTTACAATGGAATGGTTTGCTCAGCCATTTCAGAGGATTGCTAAGACTTAACTATGCTGCTGTGGGTCTGGAGTCACATGTAGGCCAGACCAGGTGAGGACAGCAGATTTCTTTCCCTAAAGGGCATTAATGAACCAGATGTGTTCTTCCTACAATTGACAATGGTTAAATGTTTGTAATTAGATAATTCCAGCATTTAATCCTCATCCCCAATTGCCCAGAGGGCAGTTAAGAGTCAACCATGTTATTGTTGGTCTGGAGTCACATGTAGGTCAGACCAGGTAAGGATGGCAGATTTCCTTCACTAAAGGGCATTAGTGATGGGTTTTTGCAACAATTGAATAGTTTCATTATCATAAATGACCATTATTGATGAGTCCTTTATTTGAATACTAGATTTATAAAATAATTGAAATTAAAATCACCCAACTTCTTTGGTGGTCCTTGAACCCCTGTTCTTGTCATCATGAGGTCCTAATGTTGTCATTTCAGATCGGAAGCGCTGTGTTTATTGTGTTTGTCAGCTACTTTGGCAGTCGAGTTCATCGCCCCCGACTGATTGGCTGTGGGGGTATCCTCGTTAGTGTTGCTGCATTCACTATGGCCTTGCCCCACTTCATCATGGGACGGTATATATACGATCGCACCACCACATGTGAGTATTTCCCATCTTGCAACAGTTTTATGGGAAGCAGTTCTTGCGGCTAAACACTTAATGGGGCAGATTCTCCAGATTACTTATGAACTAAAGGACTCCCACGACAGTAGTCAGTGGGAAAATATGATGCAAAATATAAGAGAAGGTTTTCGAATTCAGATTAAACATTCATTCCATCCATTACCAATGCTCAGTCGCAGCAGTGTATACCATCTGTGGCAACTCACAAAGCTCCAGAGGCAGCACCTTCCAGTCCCATGACTAGCACCATCTAGATGGACAAGGGCAGCAGATACATGGGAACACCACCCCCCTGCAAGTTCCCCTCCAAGCCACTCACCATCCTGCCTTGGAAATATGTCGCCGTTCCTTCAGTGTCACTGGGTCAAAATCCTGGGTCTCCCTCCCATTGAGGGTTTACCTACAGCACACAGACTGTAGCAGTTCAAGAAGGTAGCTCATCACTACCTTCTCAAGAGCAACGAGGGATGGGTAGTAAATGCTGGCCCAGCAGCGACACCCACATCCTATGAATGAATAAAAGAAACAACAAAATTGTATCTTCTCCTAACTTGGCCCATTGTGGTGAAAATATTTGCACTGGTCAGCATGCCAACATAAGAATTGAGTGAGCAAGATAGGGAAATCATGTCAAAGCTTCATAGATCACTGCTTAGGCCTCATTTGGATTTTAGTGTCAAATTCTGGGCACTATTTTTAGAAAGGACGTAAGGCCTTGAGAGGGTACAGTATAGATATAGGTCTTAGAATTAAAGAGATCAAAGGCTGTGAAGAAAAAGCGGGAGCAGGGGACTGTGTTGGCTGATCAGCCATGATCATTTTGTCGGAAGTCAGATGACACTAGGTTATAGTCTAACGGGTCTATTTGAAATCACAAGCTTTTGGAGCACTGCTCCTTCATCAGGTGAAATCCTGTTGGAGTATAACCTGGTGTTGTGTGACTTCTGATTTTGTCCACCCCAGTCCAACACCAGCACCTCCACATTATGATCATTTTGAATGGGGAGCAGGTTCGAAGGCCCAATGGCCTACTCCTGTGCCTGTCTTTATCTATTCTTTTTATGCTTCACAACATTCCTGTGAAATGATCTTTTGTTATATTAATAGAGGTATTTTAAAAACATTGTTACTGTAATTTAATTCAAAAAGACTTCATTTTATTCTTACAGATAATGTTAGTACTGTCTCTGATATCTGCCACTTGATGCCTAAGGACCAGAATTTAAACAGTGAAAACTGCAGTGTGGAGAAAAACAGCAGTGATTATGAAACACTTTCGCTGCTGATAGTTGGGCAATTACTGTTGGGAGTTGGCGGTGTTCCCATTCAGCCGTTCGGGATATCATATGTTGATGATTTTGCCAGCAATAGGAACTCACCTTTCTACCTCGGTAAGCTGAATACGCTTTTGCTCTGAACATAAACTTTTGAGTATAGGAGTTGGGTCATCACATTGAGGTTGTACAGGGTGTTGATGAGACCTCTTCTGGAGGACATGTCCAGTTGTTTTCGCCCTGTTATAGGAGGGATATAATTAAGCTGGAGAGGCTTCAGAAGAGATTTACCCAGATGTTGCTAGGAATGGAGGGTTTGACTTATAAGGAGAGTCTGGATAGGCTGGGAGATAGTAAGAACTGCTGATGCTGGAGTCAGAGATAACACAATGTGGAGCTGGAGGGACATAGCAGGCCAATCAGCATCAGAGGAGCAGGAAAGCTGACGTTTCCCGACCCAAAACGTCAACTTTCCTGCTCCTCTGATGCTGCCTGACCTGCTGAGTTCCTCCAGCTCCACATTGTGTTATCTCTGGATAGGCTGGGACTTTTTTCGCTGGAACGTAGGAGGTTGAGAAGTGACCTTATAGAGGTTTATAAAATCATGAGTGGTATAGATAAGGTGAATGGCAAGTGTATTTTCCTTAGGGTGGGGGATTTCAAGACTAGGGGACATATTTTTAAGGTGAGAGGAGAAAGATTTAGAAATGACATGAGGGTCAATTCTTTTACACAGAGAGTGGTTCACGTGTGGAATGAACTTCCAGAAGAAGTGGTGGATGTGGTTACAGTTACAACATTGAAAAGAGTACATGAATAAGAAAGGTTTGGAGAGATATGGGCCAAGCACAGGCAGGGTGGGACTAATTTAGTTTGGGATTATAGTCAGCATGGATTGGTTGGACGAAAGGGCCTGTTTCTGTGCTGAATGACTCTATGACTGTGAATTTTTAAAAGATAATCATTTAAAAGTTAAGATCAGTCTCTTTGAATTGTTTGTGAAGTCAATTGTTGATAGTTAAACAGTTAATTGTGGGATTCTTTGTTTTGTAGATTTGCTGAAGTACTTTGGTCCTGTTTCATTTTGACAGTGGCTTGCTGGAAGCACTCAGAGCAAGACTCTCCTTCTGTTGTTGGGTTTAGTTTTGACTGACTTATAGCTAGTTGACTTCCAGCACTTGGAGAGAATTAGTGTCTTTTTCCTTTCATGACCTGCATTGCAAGGGTGTTTAATGGCTGATCTCAGAGCTGTGGCCTTTAGAGCAGACTAGTCCCATATACTGAGATATCAGACCACTGACCAGGGTTGAAGCTTCCTTTTTAACCCCAGTGTCTCCTTGAAACGGGAAACATGATGTGTCTCTTTTCCAGACTGCGGTCTTTTTATTTCATTGTGGTCACAGCCTGAAATATTCACACGGGATTACAGTGCGGTTTCTAGTACATCTCTCCATTTAAAGTTCAGATAGGATTTAGCATACTCTGAGGAACTTCAGTTACATAGAAAGAAGAAGATAGGACTTGCCCCTGGAGAAGGGAAGATTGAGATGAGATTTGATCAATGTGTTCAAAATTGTGAGGGGTATGGACAGATTAAATACAGAGAAATATTTTCCATTGGTCAAAGAATTGAGAACCAGAAATTGCAAATTTAAGATGATTGGCAAAACCAGTAATAGTGACATGAGGGAACATGTCCTCATGCAGCAAGTGGTTAGAGTCTGGAATGCACTGCCTGACAGTGTGGGAGAGTCAGGTTCAATCAAGGCTTTCAGAAGGGAAGTAGACAATTATGTGGAGAGGGAAAAACGTACAGAGCCACGTGGAAAAGGACAGGCATATGGCACTAAGTGAGTTGCTCTTGCTGATATCCAGCACTGACGTGACAGGTGAATGATGTCCCTCTCTGCTGTAACCACTCTGTAATCCTGAGCTTCCAATTGCCTGCTACTTCAACACACGGCTCTGTTCCCTGGCCAACATCTCTGTCTCAGGCTTGCTGCAGTGCTCCAGCGAAGCGAAGCTCAAGCTGGAAGAACAGCACCTCATTTTCTGCTTGGGAACTCTGTAGCCTTCTGGACTCAATATTGAGTTCAATAACTTTAGGGCTTGAGCTACTCCCATGTCCTTACCACAATCCCCACATACCAGGCCTTGTTATCACATCGTCTACTAATACATACAATCCATTGTTATCCACTAATAGCCCCCATTAACCACTATTCATTCTCCTGGGCTGATCGTTATCCACTTCTTTATCTGTTCATCTGTTATTCTCTCTCTTTGGGCTCTATCTCCACCAATTGTTTACTCCTTACTCCCACTCCCCACCCTATCTTCTGCATAAAAAACACCATTTTCCTAACCACCGTCCATTCTGAGGAAGGGTCATTGGACTTGATTTCAGTTATGGGTAAATTGTTGGAGGTGATTAGAAGAGATAGGATTTTTGGACATTTAGAGAGGCAAGAATTGATTAGGGATAGTCGGCATGGTTTTGTGCGAGGAAAATTGTGTCTCACAAACTTGATTGAGTTTTTTAAGGAAGTTACCAAAAAGATTGATATGGCAGAGCAGTAAACGTTGTTTATTTGGATTTCAGTAAAGTCTTTGACAAGGTTCCGCATGCTAGACTAATTAGTAAAGTTAGGTCACATGGGATTCGGGATGAGCTTGCCAATTGAATGCATAATTTGCTTCACGGCAGGAGACAGAGAGTAATGGTGGAGGGTTGTTTTCGGACTGGAGGCCTATGACCAACGGTGTTCCACAGGGATCGATTTTGGATCCTCTTGTGGTTGTCATTTGTACAAATGATTGGGATGAGAATATAGAAGGCATGGTTAGTAAGTTTGCGGACAACACCAAAATTGGCAGCATGGTAGACAGTGAAGAAAGTTTTCTAAGAAGTTTGCATCACATATAGACAGGATAGTTAAAAAAGCATTTGGCTCACTTGCCTTCATTGCTCAGTCCTTTGAGTATAGAGAGTTGGGATGTCATGTTGAGGTTGTACAGGACATTGGTGAGGCCTCTTCTGGAATATTGTGTCCGATTCTGGTGGCCCAGTTATAGGAAGGATATTATCAAGCCGGTGGGGGTTCAGGAGAGATTTACCAGGATGTTGCAGTATATGGAAAGTTTGAGTTAGAGGGAAAGGCTGGACAGGCTGGGACTTTTTTCACTGGAGCCTAGGAGATTGAGAGGCGACCTGATAAAAGTTTATAGATAGAGTTAATGGTAGCTGTCTTTTCCCTAGATTGGGGGTTTTCAAGACTAGGGGGCACATTTTTAAGGTGAGAGGAGAGAGATTTAAAAATGACATGGGGGCAAATTTTTTACACAGAGGGTGGTTCGTGCGTGGATTGAACATCTTGAAGAAGTGATGGATGGATGGGGTACAATTTAATGTTTAAAAGAAATTTGGATAGATCCATGAATGGGAAAGGTTTGGAGGGATATGGGCCAAACGTAGGCAGGTGGGACTAATTTAGTTTGGGACTATGTTTGGCATGGACTGGTTGGGCCGAAGAGTCTGTTTCTGTGCTGTACGACTCTATGACTTTATGACTCTACGACTTTGATTTCTCTCCACGGATGCTGCCAGACCTACTGACATTTTCCAGCAATTTCTGTTTTTGTTTCTGTGATCTTTTTGTTGAATGCTGAGGAGTTTCACTCCCTGACTACTGTGTTTCCTCCTCTAGGAATCTTGTTTGCAGTTAGTGTCCTCGGACCAGCGTTCGGCTTCGTTTTAGGTTCTGCTGTTCTCCGTCTCTACGTTGACATCGATAAACTTTCAGCTGGTGAGTGCTTCAGACAAACACTGGTGTTTCCCAATCAGTAGTGATCTTTTGACATGAGAATTGTCTTATGAGCAAAAGTTAAACAGGTTGGGACTCTGCTTACTGGAGTTTAGAAGAATGAGAGGTGATCTCTTTGTAACATACAGGATTCTTAAGGAGCTTGACAGGGTAAATGCTGAAAGGATGTTTCCCCTCATGAGAGAGTCTAGGACCAGAGGGCATAGTCTCAGAATAAAAGGGAACCAACTTAAGACTGAGATGAGGGGGAATTTCTTCTCTCAGAGCTTTGCGAGTCTTTGGAACTCCTTGCCACAGAGAGCTGTGGGGGCAGAGTCCTTGTGTATATTTAAGGTTGAGATGGATAAATTCCTGATCAGTTGGGGAATCAAGGCTTACGGGGAAAGGGCAGAAAAGTGGTTGTGAGGAATGTTGGATCAGCCATGATCCTATTGGATGGCAGAGCAATTTGGAGGGACCCAGAGACCTTCTCCTGTTCCTATCTCTTACAGATAGTGTAAAATGAACAAATTCAGATTGGCACAAAAGCAAAATACTTGAAATCTGCAATAAAAACTGAAAATGGTAGAGAAATTCAGCAGGTCTGGCAGTATCTTTGGAGAAAGGAACATTTAATGTTTCAATCAGGTCTGACTCTTCTTCAGAACTGGATGTAAAGTGTGAGAAGCATACGCTAATAAGTTGGGTGAGACTGAACAAGGGGTAAATGTAGCATCAAGGAAGGAAAAATAAGTTGAGTGGGGCAGAAGCAGACTGAAACAATGGATCTGCCAGGGCGGTCCTGTTTACAGACTTTCGAAAGAAGGTAGAAGTAGGTTGCATGGTGTGGGTGTTGCAGGCTGGGCCAGCACTTATTTCCCATTCCTGATTGCCGAGACAGTAAGAGTCAGCCACATTGTTGTGGGTCTGGAATGCACGGCCAAAGAAGGACATGAATTCGACTGGGACAACACATCCATAATAGCACAAGCCAAACAGTGACATGCCAGGGAATTCCTGGAGGCCTGGCATTCCAACCGGAACTCCATCAACAAACACATTGGACTGGACCCGATATACAAACCACTGAAAAACAGAATTGGAAGTGATGCCAACCACCCCAGCAAACCGAGGCATATAAATAACAAGCGGGACAGAACACCAACGCTTCACCGGAGTCGCACTGACGATGTTACCTAGCAGGGTGACGAAACATCTGCAAACACACCGGCTCGGCGAGCAAGTCTACAACCTCATCCACAACTCGAGCTACAAATCTTCTCAAAAACTTAGTACACTACATATCTCTAGGGAAACATCTCCCCAAGTTGCATTTAAATAGTGCCTTTTGTTATCCTGAATGTCGTCTCTATCAGCCATGCCTTTTGGCTTTGGTGTTCTGAAATGCACATTCTCATCTTACTGGGCCTGGGTAATTATTCAGATTTTATTTCCTGTCTGTTGCAGCTGATATCGATTTGGAGTTTGGAGATCCACGTTGGGTAGGAGCTTGGTGGCTTGGATTCCTTATGGCTGCTAGTTTTGTCGGCATAGTCTCTGTCCCATATTTCTTTTTCCCGAAAGAGATGCCCAAGGAGGTAGGTCCACTGCCGGATTTTCCAACCTGGAGGAATAAGGGGCATTATATAAGATGCCATTCAGCCTCTTCAGCCTGTTTTTGTTTCAAAATGTATTCTGCCATAGGAGGAATTTCCTTTTTCAGAGGGTAGTAAACCTGTAGAATTCCTTACTGGGTTGCAGAGACTGCGTTGTTAAGTATAATCATGGCTGAGATAGATTTTTAGTCGTTAAGGGTTATGGGGAAAAGGCAAAAGTGGAGTTGAGGATTATCAGATTAACTATGATCTCATTGAATGGTGGAGTGACTCAATGAGCTAATTCTGCTCCTATGTCTTGTTTATTTTTCGATAGCATCACCATTCACTCTTCAAAACTCCAGGGAGTGAAAACTTCACCTCCTCAATCCTCCCTTTAAACTGTCCCTAATAAACCCTCCCAGGACAGGGACAGCATGGGTTTAGATACAGAGTAAAGCCCCCTTTACATTGTGTCCATCGAACACTCCCAGGACAAGGACAGCGCATGGTTAGAGACAGAGGAATAAATCAATTGCTGACTAATCTAAGACAACAAGGTGCAGGGCTGGATGAACACAGCAGGCCAAGCAGCATCATAGGAGCAGAGAGGCTGACGTTTCGGGCCTAGACCCTTCATCAGAAAAGGGCCGAAACGTCAGCCTCTCTGCTCCTATGATGCTGCTTGGCCTGCTGTGTTCATCCAGCCCTGCACCTTGTTGTCTCGGATTCTCCAGCATCTGCAGTTCCTACTATCTCTGCTGACTAATCTAACCTGGTCTGGCCTACATGTGATTCCAGGCCTGCAACAATGTGACTGACTCTTAGCTGCCCTCTGAAATAGCTGAGCAAATCACTCAGTGCAAGGAAAATTACTAATGTAAAATGCTGACCTTACCAGTGACACCACATCCCATGAATGAATAAATATTTTACTTAAAAAAATTTTACATATCTAAACCCCTTGCATAAAACCACACTGTAGCATGCCATGAATTTAATTGTATAGATGTATCCCCACAATAAAGTGTCTTCACATCAAAAATCAGGACCAAGCTAATGAGAATTTCTTTGAGATTTATAAGAATGACAGACTGAAATAGACACACCGGCCCTTTGACACAATCCAATATAGTTCCCATGATGACACTGATGCTCCCCGCCCAATCCTGTTAATCTCCAGCGAGTATCGAAAAATCCTCTTTTCCCATCTGTTATCTATAATCCTTGCCTCCCCTTTAGTTGCAAACTCTGTCCAACTGAGCCTCGAATATATTTCGCAATCCAACCTCCCTCTTCCGCTCTCTGGATGAAGAAATCATCAAATATTCATGGCCATCTAAGAAAAGTATTCCTTCTCATCTCCATCTTAAATAGGAGATCCCTTATCTTTAAACTCTGCCACCTGGTTCTAGATACCACCTTGAGTGGATGCATCTTCTCAGCATCTACACTGTCAGGCCATCCTCAGGATCTTACATGTTTCAATAAGATCACCTTATGCTCCATCGAGAGCAGGCCCAAACTGCTCAATCTTTGCTTAGAAGACAAAGCCTTTATTGCCAGGAATCAATTTAGTGCAAAAACAAATTTGCTGGAAAAGCCCAGCAGGTCTGGCAGCATCTTCACAGATGCTGCCAG